GTTTAAAACAAAAGTAGAGCACGATATATTTTGTTGCTTGCATATGCACAAAGTGTTTCTGGAAGAATACAGAAATCTATATTGTCGTCCCCGGGGAGAGGCACTGGGGAGTCTTTTGGGGGCGGGGGAAGGGAAGGAAGCCCTGGGGGTGCCCCAAACCGACTTCTCTGCATTCTAGTTTGTTCTGAAAGCAAGGTTGCCCCCGCCTCCCTCTCGTTCAGGCCTTTGTGGTCCCAGAGCCTCGCACTTGTGTTACACGGCTCCAGTGGTCCAGGGCCCAGGAGTTACAATCTTGTCCCTCTGTACGTGGGACCTGGGGATGCTGCAGCAGGACAACAGCCAACAGGGAGCATTTCAAACTCCAGGTGTTCCCACCTCTTTCCTCTGCGCGAGGACAGAAGCAGCCCTTGCTGTCCTTCCTGGCCACGAGGGGAGGATTGTCGGGCAGAAGCAGAGGTCTGGGCTGGTTCCAGGCCGTTCTGGGTCCCGGCAGATGTAGCGGGGGGCTCGGAAGGTGCACCCCGCATGCGGCCGTCATGCCTGGTGCTCCCCCGGAGCAGGTCTGAGTTCTGTGAACCTTGATGGATGTTCTCTCAGCAGCTCCAGGTTGGCTGTTTTATTTTTGGCACCATCTGCCTTTGTGCTTCTTGAAGGTAGTTGTTACAGTTTGGGTGACTTTTATAAAATATCTTACTACTTTGGCTTTTCTATACGACCTTTATTTTGGGGGGAAGAGACTGTCCACTTTAGTTGTTTTTTTAGTTTCTCAGGCAAAGAAACAACCCCAGCAGGTGTTTCTTAGATGATTGGGCCAGTTCTGCTTCCAGGCTGCTTCCCAAGCCAGTCCCTCCAGGAGCCCTTCCCGCTCCATGGCACCTGCAGGGCCGGGCGCAGAGGCCTTGAGGTCCCCGGGGTCCCACCCTCGCGCACTCGGTGGGGGTCAGCCTTAGAGCCGGTTCCAGCGTGGTGATGGCGCAGGACGCACTTTTCTGGAGCCTCTGTGTCCTCGGTGCAGCGGCCGGACCTGAGGCACACGGGTACCACGGCTGCTACGTCATCTGCTTGTGTTGGTGAAGAGCGTGGAGCCCAGCCCTCCTGACCAGGCCTGTTCTCTCTGCTTCTCTGACGGGGCCACAGGCAAATGCAAAGGGAATTCATAAAATTGAGGGGGCCTTAGTAGATTGGGGAGTCCTGCCCCAGTCCTCCTTTTTGATTGCTCTGGAACAGTGTTCTCTTGGCCCCATTGGGACGGGTGGGCCAGCCAGCTTCCCGCTGTGGCCCTAAAGTGGTTTCTGAGTCCATTGTGGGCTTGTTTTTTGAAGTGTAAAAATGTTCATACCTTTTGACCCAATAACCCTATTTCTGGGATTGATTCTGAGGAAACAATTCAAAACGCAGAAATAATTATACTGTATTAAATGATGTTTATTGATATAATAGTAAAAAAGAAGGCTCTAAGTTGTGTCCACCTAGGAAATGGCTACGTTACTGTGATTCTCCCGCTGGCTACAGGGACAACCGTAGGAAAAGATAGTCACAGGGACCTGGCAGTGCTGGGCGTTTTTATTTCTACGAGGCCAGAGTGGATTCTGCCGTCATGTTGTATCTTTGTTTAATGTAAAGATGTCAAGACTGGAAGGAAATACAACAAACCTGACTCAGATTATTCATATTTTGGTGCGTCACCTAGGCCACTGTGGGAACAATATGTTCAGTACCACAGGGCAGCGTGAAACAGGGAGACGCAGATGAGGAGTGGCGGGCCCCGGCCTGGGCTACAGAAGGGCTGTGTTAGAGCCGCTGGCACAGGGCGCCACGGCCGCCTGCGCTCTCCTTTACATGTCTTCTATGATGCTTTCTCTCTAAACAAGTCAATGGCTTTATTTATTTAAAAAAAATTTTTTTTTTTTACTTATTTATTTTTCCCCCAAAGCCCCAGTAGATAGTTGTATGTCACAGCTGCACATCCTTCTAGTTGCCGTATGTGGGACGCGGCCCCAGCATGGCCGGAGAAGCGGTGCATCGGTGTGCACCCGGGATCCGAACCCGGACGCCAGCAGCGGAGCATGCGCACTTAACCACTAAGCCACGGGGCCGGCCCAACAATGGCTTTAAAACAAACAAAAAGTCTTTTCTGCTTCTTGGAGCGCTCCGAGAAGGCATTTGGATAGCTGAGTTGTTTGGAAAGCTGGAGGCCCGGTTTTCAATACTCTTGGTATGTTTCTAACGGCCTCAGGTAGAAATTTTTCTTCAGTGAAGTCCATCCCTTCCAGCCATTATAAATGGTGGAGAGCAAATATGGTTTAACTTTTCTTAAACTCTGTCTGTTTGAAAGCTCCGAGGGAATGCCTTCAGACCCTCCGGGAGTGGCCGGCCTCTCTGCCCTGATCCACGGTGACCCCTGGGTGACCTGCTCTTCACAGGGTGTCCTCTCACCCCTCGGCTGTCACCTCTTGCTGCCTCTCGCAGAGCCAGGCAGCCGAGCTGGCAGGTGCCAGGATGTGGAACGAGCCAGCCGGCCCCTGTGCGTGGCCTTGGAGCGTGGTCTCTGTAGAGCTTGCCTCTCTCGCCCCAGTGAGACCCTGGCTAGCACGGCTCCTGGGAGGCCGGGGGTCTCGCCTGGTGCGCTGTCTGATGCACGTGCCGTACCAGTGTCGCTGCCCAGGACAGCGTGGGCCGCAGCCTCAGGTCTTTACATTAGTGATACAGTTAGCCCTGGTCAGGGGGAGGTCCCGAGAGGTGCCCTGTCCTGTCATCAGTCCCAAACCCATCCTGGCTTCTAAATGTGGGTAGCTGGAATGAGTTTTATTTCATTGTGGCTATTTACTTAAATCTCAAACTACTATATTTGAATCATACAAAAGAACATCATAACACGTAAGGAAGTTATGCAGCAGAATATGATAGAGCGCATGCGCCTGGACACGCCCCCACTGGTCAGAGCTCGCCTCCACCCGTGGGGCCCTGCCCTCCCGGAGGGAGTCCCAGCCCTGCCCTTGCAAGTGAACGGTGTGTTTCTCTGTGTTTGCCGTCTTCCCCACTTTCTTGTCACTGACTCTAGGTTTCACTTTGGGCGAGGCCCGCCTCACTGCGTGTCTCTGGCTGTCCCGGCTGGTGGGGACAGTGAGGCTCCAGCCGAGATGGTGTGCACAGGCTCCTTAAGGACGAGGGGGGGCTGTACAAAGAGAGACACTGGGTGTGCTCTCTGGAGCTCTGTCCAAGTCCAAGTTAATCCAGGCGAGCACTGGGGAGAAAGCCTTAAGGAAGTGCGGTTTGATTCTGGGGGTGGCGCCGCTGCCCGGGGACCTTCTGTGCACGTCTCCCAAGTGCTATTCCTTCCCGGCCACCTGGACAGCTGCAGCCGCCCAGAGCCACCCAGGGCTGCGTGGAGGGAGCAGGCAGCTGCATTCCTGGCTTTCAGTGAGAAATTAATCCCCCTTCAGCATCTTGACAGGAGCTCGTTAAGAGCCTGGGGTGATGCAGGCCGTGGGGAGGGAGGGAAGCAGGCAGGAGCCTTTGCACGCACATCCCACACTTGAGAATATTTTGTTTCAAGTCAAGTCAGCCGTACAGCAGTTTTGCAGGCAGGGACTTGCCCGCGAGGTTCACGGTCACAGACACCACCGCTGGCAAGCAGAACACCGCGCGCAGAACCGGGAGGCCTGTCCTTGGCATCTTTACTGCCAAAACATCAAGTTTTATGAGTGCCTTTCTGGCATTTACTTTACATGTGTCGTAAATCCAGCGCTGTGTCCGCTGAGGGCCGCAGGGAGAGGCTGGACTGCGGTGCCCTTGTTCCTTTAAGTGGGCTCATGGCTGGGGGGCCTTGCTTGAGTTTTGCCAAGTGCCCAAGTGCCCTGTCATCTGGGCACCTTCCTGCCTCTCACGCTCCGAGACCTGCGGGACACAGGTTTCCTCTGTGACCAGAGTCGTTGTGGCGTCTGGATGTCTTCTTTCTCCTCCGTGAGGACCACTGTGTCCCCCCTTTGCCTCCAGCTCCTGGGCTGGCACTCGGTTTGGGCTCTTGGCCACCACACTGGGAGGGCCGGTACGACCAGGGAGGGACAGGCCCCACTCTGCTGCTGACTGGCTGAGGGACCACAGCCTGGTTGTCGCCTTCCTGAGCCCCACTTCCTCAGGTGGGAAGGGGGATGGTCCCCATGCTGGGCGGCCGCGTGGGGCTGTGGGGAGGGTGACATGAAGTAACGTCTGTGGGCACTCAGCGCAGTGCCTGGCCCTGGCGGGCGTTCTGTGGAAATACACTCGCACTTCTCGTCCACCCCACAGAGGGGAGCCTGTCCCCTGTGGATGGGGAGGGCAGGAGGTGATCTGACAGCCATTTGTCACACGTTCAGACGAAGGCTCGTCGGGGAGCGGCCCTGGTTTGCTCTCCTGCCAGAGTTGCTGCCTCACCTGACTTGGGAGTTCATACCCCTCGAGGGTGGCCTGTGGGTGTGCGGGTTCGGTTGCCTGTCCCTTGCCTCCACCCCCTGAAGTTGTCTTCCTGGCCATGGGCCTTGGGTGGCCAGAGGCATCAGTTCTGCAGCTCCCTGGGCCCCGCCTACCTCCAGGGCCCCCCTTGCTGCCCAGGAATGCGGGGGCCTGTTCCGACAGGCCCCTCGCTTGCTCCCTCCCTAAGCGGGGGTGCTCCTGCTCCAGAGCAGGCCGGCCTCCCTAAGCCTCCATCCCTCTGCCTGGCGCTGGGTGGGTGCCTCATCTGTGCCCGGACAGAGAAGTGTGACAGCCTCCGTAGGTCCAGCTCCCTCTGTCTGCCCCACCCGCTCCCCGGCCCTTCCTTGAGCCCCAGCATGAAGGGCCCTCAAGGCACATTTCTGCATCAGCAGAGGCCATAGGGAGATGCACCCAGCCCGGACTTGGGGAGATGCACTGGAGCCCGTGCGGAGGGCTGGTGCAAGCGCACCTTGTGGCCGGCCCTCCTCCTGCGACGGCCTCTCCTCCGTGCCTCCGCGGGCCCTGCTAACGGCTTGCCTCTGGTTCAGTTTCCAGGCAGAGCGGCCCGCGCTGAATGTTGTCATCTTCCCTCTGCTCCACGAGGGCCTGACTGATGTCATCCGGGACGTCCCCATGGTGCACCTTGACGAGATCACCTTATTTAAAAGCAGAGTGGCCGAGGAGCCCCCAAACCTGTGGTGGTGACAGGCATGGCCCAGCACTGGGCGAAGCTGCTTCTGTTGGCCAAGCTGCCCTGCCCGCTGCCTGTTGCCTCTGTAAGTCTCCGTGGCCGAGGCAGCAGGACTGCCCCAAACTGCCTCGGCCGCCACTGCTGCGCACCACCTGCCCGAGGCCCCCGGGACCCATTGACGGGTCACAGGAGGAAGGAAGACCTCTCTCCCCTGCCATCCTGCGCACCCACCCTATCTCCTGGGGCCTTCCGATGCTTCCTCTTGTGAGGCCTCGTCGCTCAGTGAAATTTGGGTTGAGATGGCGTGAGGAGGATCAGGCGGGGAGAGCCGGCTGTCAGGGCGATCTTGACCTTCTTAAACTGAGACGTGGATCGTCGGGGCGCTGACTCCTTAGGGGCCCTGACTAGGTCCCCAGGGCGCCGCGTGGCCCCAGTGCTGCCCCTTCACTTCAGCCCCTGAGTGTCTCTTTGCTCTTGTGTTCCTGATCACCTGCCACCGGGCTCCTTGGAGGGGTACGCTGGGGCCTGCTGCTGGGGGTGCCTGTGCTGGGTGGGTGGATATGCTCACTCTGTGAGATGACCACGTTGACGTCCGCAACGGCGAGGCCGGTGACCACATGTCTGAGCGTCCCAACCTCTGACCAGCTGTGTGCGGGACCCAGTGAGGAGCTCGCAGGTCTCGTGGCTGCAGATTTGGGGTCTCCTTCCCAGTGAGGCATGTTTTAACCCGATGGTGTCTCCCGTATGTTTCCCACCAGATGCTGTCAGACAAGTTCGGGCCAGTGGCTGGGCAGGGACCCCTGGGTCTGGGATGGCTGGGCGCCTGAGCAGAGTCTGCCGCACAGCAGTTATGGCGTTCAGCTTTAGAAACTGCAGTTCCCTGTGAAGATGTGTATTTCTGGGGAATATGGATATACCTGGCTTCATTAGAGAAACTTGAAGTATTAAAACCCAGGAAGGATGTTTAAGGCCAGAGTAGTGATCAGATTACCTGTTTCAGATAGCTTTATTTAGCACTTTAAAAAAGTTCCACGCAGCTATTCCAAAACTGAGGAACGACCTCCAGTGCCCAGGGCCTCACCCCCTGTGTCTCTGCCTTCTCAGCTGCAAGGTCTCCCCAGAGCCGTCCTCCCCTCATCTGGTGGGGACCCACAGTTGGGTTCTCTCCACCTGGTCACTTGGTGACGCTTCTGGAGACTTCCAGGGAGGGCTGAGAATCGCTGGGACCGCTTCCATCCAGGGGCACCTCGGTCTCCACAGAGGCTGCCTCCCCAGGACCCGGGCCTGTCTCCACCAGCCTCTTTCTCCCTCTGGGTTGTGGGTGCAGAGCCCACCAGGCCCTGCTCACACTGCTGGTGCCCATCTCGACTGCGGTCTGCTCTGTGGCACCCAGCCTGGCCATCTTCCTGCTCTGTTTCCATAGGGACAATCACCCCCATTCCATGTAGCGTGTCCTGCAGTTTACCTGCTATTGAAAGACCGGGTCCCTGGCCCCTGGGCATTCATTCACCTGCCCTTCCCTGGTTCTCAAAGGCAGCCCGTTTAGCAGTGCCCACCCAGCCAGGCCTGGGGGTCCAGAAGGCCTTCTGATGGCGACTGCAGGAACCGAGGACTCCTGGGGTCAGGGCCTCAGAAGGAGCACAGGCCTCTGCATGCTCTGGCTGAATCTTCCATCAGTGCAGTGTGTCTGGCAGCTCTGGCTGTGCTCTTCTCCCGTGCAGACGATGTGTCTGTAGGTGGAGCTGGGGTGAGCGCTCCTCCCCCTTCACCCTGTTTTCTTGCCGTGGGTCAGTCATCTCCTCTCTGGAGCATGGGGTGCCCTCTCCCTGCCCTGGGCTGTGGCTGGTGGCTCTTTGCCTCCTGTCTGGAGGAGCCGGTCTGCAGGCTGCCTCCAGTGAAAGCCCAACAGCCTGCACCTTGTCAGTCCTGACCTGGCCTGAGAGCCACTACCTGGGTCCCGTCCCTTCTTGGCCTTGGAGGCCACAGGACAGGCTGCCCTGGACCCGGAGAGACAAGGCTGAGGTCCCCATTGGGGCCACGCTGCTGTAGATGAGGGTCTGAGAGGTGATGGGCACCCCCCCGTTTCTGTGCTTTTCTTTCAGATGGCGCACAGAGACCACCAGGCCGGGGTGGTGTGGGGACTCACCACTCCTTGTGCTCAGTGCAAGGGTGTGGCTGGTTGCAGCCTGACCGGCAGGGGGATGCAGCCCAGGAGGGAGGCAGGTGGCCTGGTTGACTCCAGGACCCCTGTGAGCCAGGCCCAGCCCACCCCCGGGGGCCCTGGGTGGCTCTGGGTGCCCTTCTTTTCTTCCAGAGCCCCCAAGCACAGGCCAGAGAATGATCTTTCCACCAGGAATCTATCCAAAGGTTGCAGTTGTGTCTTCACGCTCTTGCCTGGATGGCCTGTTCTCCTGAGCAAGCGGTTTTAACCAGAGCATCATTTATGCCGACAAACAGGCCTGGGAGGGGCTGTTCACAAGAGGCTGGGGCGCGAACTGCCTTGGAAAGCAGCCCCCAGCAGCAGACTTTGTATTCTTAGTGTCCCCTGCAACCATCCTTTTACTTAGAGCAAGAATTTCCGCTGCTTCTACACCCGAGACAGGATTCACCAGATGTTAATAATGTGCTTATTCTCGCTAAGTGCTATTTTGGCACCAGTGTTAATTGCAATTTATATTCTGCAGCATTTTACGCTGGGAAAAGAACCCACCCTAATGGTCCCCAATTGGCAGAACTGGGTTGTTAAGCGGCGGACCATATGCTGCCTGCTGAGAGGGGCCTGGTCAGCACTGTGCCCGCGTGTGTGCATCTCTGCTGTGCACGTGTGTGTGCGTGCATGTGCATGGTGTGTGCGTGTGTCTGTATGCATACACATGAGGGCGTAGTCTGCTGTGTGTGCGTGCACGTGTGTACATCTGTGTGCACATCTCTGTGTGTGTGATCAAGCGTCTGCTTGGGCATGCATACACGTGTGTGCGTGGTGTGTGAGAGAGAGAGACTGGGGGAGCGGGAATGAAGAAGGAGGAGATCAGGGCATTGTCCCTTTGTTAGAAAGAGAAACTCCCAACCTCCCAGGGCCGCCCCTCCCACCCATGTCCCACACCCCGTGGTTCACTCCTCCCCCAACTGCTCCCAGCCCTGCGTCCTGTGGCCCTGCCTGCCCTGGGGGCTTCGACTTAGCTGCCACACCACTAAGCAACCTGGCTGGCCGGGTCCGAAGGTGCTCCCCAGGGGAGACATCTTGAGCCTGAGGAAAGCTGAGGCCTGCAGGCTCCCTTCCTTGCTGTAAGTGTCTTTTCTCATTTTCACGTGCAAGTATTTTTATTTCCAAGCTCCAAGCCCGAGGAGGCTGGATTGGGAACACTTTTTCATACAATGAGGGGGTGGGTTTTATCCCTGCCTGTCAGCTACCCTTCCGAGGACCCGAGGAGACACAGGTTCCAGGGTCCCTTCTCCAGGAGGCCTGCGTGCAGCAGGAAGGCGCTTTCCACTCAAGCTGGGGCTGAGGCCCAGGACAGGCCCTGGGACTGACGCGCTGTCCCCCTGCAAGGCTGGGTGTTGAGAGTGACACTCCCTTAATCGCCCCTGCACCAGGACCCAGAGCTGCAGGCCACTCGGCCCAGGGGACAGAAGCTTGGCGGAGGCCTGGGCTGGGAAAGCTGGGCCGTGGGAGCTGTGGGACCTGGGTCTCTGTTGGCTCACGAGGGTCTAAAACCAGCGCACGCAGCCTTGACTGTGCCAGCGGTCTCCCCGAGTCGGAGCCAAGAAGGCGGCGATCCCCACCGCCCCGGCCCCGCCTCGTAGGAAGGGAACCCTGCCCCATGGACCCCTCACGTCGTCCTCGAGCAGCGCTGGGGCAGCGGGCAGCCTCCCGCCTCCTCTCGCCCTCATATTTGCTCCTTCAGGATTTGAAAATTGCTGAGACCTTATAAGAAAAGATAAGAGAAATGAGCGGATGACGATGATGATGAGGTATGGCTGTTGGCCGCGGGGCCCAATGGTTTCAGCTGTAAAACCCGAGGCGAGGGAGACGTGGATGCCGACGCCCGTGGTCTTTTGGCCTCCACCCTGAGTCCCTTGTACCCCTTTGACAGGACAGGGACGGGATTGCATGGGAGGGGCTCGGAGCCGCTTGTGATGGTCACCAATCTCATTTGCGCTGGGGGCGCAGGATTTTAATGAGAAGTGTCTGAGGTCCCCTGGGCGTGAGGATCAGATACCCACAGAAATTTTTAAAAACTACAGTTCTGACACAGCCCAACCACTGTCGTCTAAATGACTTTTTAAAGCTCTTTTAAAACACACTGAAGTGTGAGGTTTTGCGCCAATATCCCAGGGTCAGGGCACTGCTGCGCCCTGCTCCAGGCCAGCCGGCCCCGGGGATTAAGGGTGACCGGGCTGCCTGTTGGCCTTGTACATCATGGAACTGAGGCCAGGGCCCAAGGACTGGGTCTGGAGCAGAAGCCGCCGCTCTGCTAAACCTACCAAGGGCGTGGCTTTCCATCGAACCCTGACTGGGTGTGAGCTGGAGGTGGGGTGGGTGAGGCGACCGTGGGCGGGGGGGCCTGTGCGGCACGCGGCACTCACCCTGCAGCTGTGGGTGGCATTTCCAGCCCCGCACGGCCACCCCTCTGACCGTTGCCATCTGAGTGCAGCTGTGACTGGAGCAGTGGGGCTCAGCATGTTTTTAAGGCGGGGTCTCACGGTATGTGGTGACCAGGTGCTAAATGACTGAATACATGTCACCTGCCTCTTGACAGACTTCCTCGTCTGTCTGGTGATGCCCGCTCCTGAATTTCGTGTTCAAACTACATTTTCAGTGGACATTTTCATGTAAATTCATGGCATGTGAAGTTTCCAATAAAATGGACTTGATTTAGAACACCAGGCAGCAGTGTGGTCCTTCCAGTATGGACGCTCCCTGATCTTTGCCCTGTGGCCCCCTCTGCAGCCTGGAGGGTGGGCCGAGTCAGGTGGTGCTCCGGTCACCCACTGCTGTTCACATGTTGAGGACGGGTGCCTGGATGGAGATGTGAGACCCAAAAGGTGGTCCCGACACTGCCAGGGCCGTCAGGAGGTGACTTCTCAGGCGGCCTTTGCAGGCTAGGGAGGCAGAGGCTGTGA